TCCCCTCATTCAATGAAGAAGAGTAATACCTGTGAGATGACTTTAAAAGTAAGTAAAATATACTAATATATGGAATTAATTCTTTCAATACCATGGGGAGGTGGATTTTTAACTTGATTAACTCAACCATTCTTAAAACAATCAGGAGAGCAAGAAGAACAGAACCCGTCACCTGATTCCTAAGTCAATCTTTTCTAATTTAGTATGTGTTTAAAACTCACTTGACAGTTATAAGGTATATGGATTCTAGTGAAAAATATCCACCCTCAAACAGTACATAGGTTATTTTCATTCTTCCTTTACTTTTCTCTTTGTTTCATAACCTGCACTGTCTAGAAATAAGCGACAGCATTCAATATTCTACGAAAGGTTCCACAGTATACAGAACTTAACCACAAAACCTAACAGCAGGCAAATCTTTGTTAACGCTGTGGTTATTGCCAGCTAGTACAGATGATGCGTGATCTATCTCAAGAACGGAAACAAAAGTGGGTGGACAAAAATAAATAAGATCAAAACCTTGACTGTATAACACAGGACATGTGCAGAACTCACCTTCTGTAGGGTCACAGTGTACTGTTCCCATATCAGCTCCTCCATGCCTGGGGCCTGTTTTAAAATAAGCAAACACAACTTGATTAAAGCCGCAAATCTCTCAGTGCCAGAAATAAAACTGTAACTGTAATTCAGGATGTCTCAATTTAAAGTCCAACTCCCAATTTCTATGTATCAAAAAGTCAAACTGTGCTCAGAATGTCATGCTACCTATTTTCATACTCTCTTTCCATGAAATGGTTTCCTTAATACAGTACTAGAAAAATAGAGAAATACACAGTGAGAGCCCCTTAAAAAAAAAAATAGGATAAAATGTTAAGGGCTGAGCCCTTTTATCATCACCACTCACACTGTCAACATAAAAACCTTAAAAAAAAAAAAAAGTAATTAAACTATGACAGTGGCCCACCTCTATAACCCTAGCTATCCAGGAATATCTCAAGTTCAAGGCCAACCTGGGCAAATTTAGCAAGACCCTGCCTTGGGGACAAAGAAAAAACAAAAAAAAAGTTTTCAAAAGATTTTCCCATTTTTTAAAGCATTCTCGAACCAACTTCCCTCAAAGGTAAAGTCAAGCAAATTTTCTGTATAATTAAGTCAAAAAAAATTTCTCGACCTTATTGACAAGGGTTCCTTATAAGTTATCTGTGGGATCTTTTGGCTTTTTCTCTATCAGTGACACTGGATGCAAAATGGCCATGCTTGCATAAATAGGCCATAGGGGCTTCCATTTCAAACATTATTCCAAAACAGATGTCTAGAAGACCTTAAAAAATACTGGTGTCATTTTAAGAACAATAATATTCCATAAAGTCCAGGCTGCCTTTGAGAAGGACAGAAATACCAAGAAAGCTGAATGCCAGGATAAGATAGTACAGAAGCAGGAATTTAAACAAGAGGGTGTAGAAAAGGGTGGGAGATAAGATCAGATATATTGGGGGGGGGGATGGGACAGGGGACAACTCCATGCAAATGGAGCACTAAAAATGTCTCCTGGAGAATTCCTATCAACAGACCTATATTCAGGTTTGAAACTCAAAGTCATATTATGGAGGTGACCATATTGCCCCAAGAAATATGCCCAACCAAAGTGGTTCTGCATTGGTAGTTCTACCAGTTTTCTTGTGCCAGGCAAATCCTCTCCAAGGAACACTTTTATTAAACACAGGCTTTGAAGAATCCCTCAAAAAAGTATCTAAGGAACATGAGCTCACAATTTAAATGCACACACACAAAAACTGGAGAATCAAAGAATGTAAATATTGCAAACGTCCCTCACAGATCAAAAAAGTGTATATAATGTGGATCACATGTTTTAGGATTCGAAAGGATGGGAAGTATGAATGAGAAGTTAAGAATAACAGGTTCTAGGAGGAGATAAGAGTAAAGGAGAAATCCAGTATCCAAGGAGGTGATGTCTTCCCCTGGACTGAAGGTGTCTTCTCTTCAGGAAGTTTCAATACATCATAAGCAAGTTAAATTTAAAAAATGTAAGGAAGAAAAAAGAAGGAAGAGAACCACACCTAAATGCACTGCGGTCTCATTGCCTTTAAGGACAAATATACCTTGAGAGGAGCTCAGCAGAAGAAAGAGCACAGAAGAAAAACAAAAGGACAGACAACTTCTCAACAGCAATAATGGAAGACAGCAGAATAGCATCTTTAATACAGAATCTGTCAATTTAAAAGATAAAAAAGACATTTTTTTTAAAAAACAAGGTCAGATTATTACCAGAGGCTAGAAATAAAATAATTAAAGAAAGGAAAATAACCAGGCATGGTGGCGCACACCTGTCATCCCAGTAACTTGGGAGGCTGCAGCAGGAGGACTGTGAGTTTGAGGCCAGCCTCAGCCTCTTAGTGAGACCCTCAGCAATTTAGTGAGACCCTGTCTCAAAATAAAAAATAAAAA